CACTCTCACCAGTGGGCTAGACCAGCATTTTACAAAAGGCACCAACTGTCATTACTCTCACTTTATCCATGTGAAAGTAAGGCCCACACATGCTCAGTAATTTGACCAACATCATAATGTGAGCCAGCAGCGGAGCTAAGCACAGAATCCAGGCCTCCCCAGCCAGTGCCTTCGCTAAGAGACCACCCTACCTTCACCCACTGAAATTTCCTCTGCAAATTCTGAAGACATCTGTTTTATTATTAATTACTTTGCAAGCCAATGTGAGGGAAATTGTTCCACTTTGCACCCTGCTTGGGAGTGTGGGGATGACCCAACTCCTACCCAAGTAAATGGAAGGAGTCCATCCATGAATATGCTGCCTCGACAGCAGATTTCCCTTTCCCCACAACTCAGAATCCCTCCCAGCACAGAAAGGATGACTGCATTTGGAGCTAATTTGGGACATGCTGTAGGAAGCTTCATAAATGTAAGCCACGTATATGTTTCCTATTTAGATATGTTTGCACCGTCAAACTGGGTTTTCACTTTGTTCGTATACAATGGGGGTGTACCAGAACTAGGACAGGGTAAGCAATGAGTAAAAGTAAGACCCTTACTCAGGATTTGGCTCATTGGTCCAGAGTTTGAGCTCAGATTTGTTGGTGTGAATCCTCAGTAACACCATTGACTGCAGTCGAGATACAGCAGATTGGCACCAATACAACTGAAATCCGAATCTGGACCATTGTGTTTCAGTATTGCTGTTTACATATTATTTATCTTGTTTATTTACATTGGGTCTGATTTGAAGCCAAGTCTTTTCTAGTCCACCCTTTTACCTGCTGGCAATTTTTCAGAAGGAAATAACTGCAGGTACAGTGTTTGCATCCACAAATTTCTGCAGGTACTGTACAAATTAGGTCATTCAGCTCTCTAAGTACCAGCTAAATGGCTACAGTCCAAGTAGTTAAATGTCTGACGGGGGGATGGCACCCAAGAGGGCTAGGTTTTCAGGTCCATCATGAAGAAATGAAGGGCACTCTTACTATAAACAAAAAGAATGTGTTAGTTTGTCCCAACCAAACTAGGGATATTTTCGCGATCTCATTGCTGCAGCAAACATAAATGAACAGCACCCTCTAACGTCATTCGCTTTGACGCAGCGTAGTGTTTGTACAAGTTACAAACCCATCTGCATTGCAAAGGAGTGAATAAAGATGAATGGGGTTGATACTGTTTTCCTTATAAACATGAGTCACAAAGTATTTCAGCAAATAAAACCATGAAGATACAATGCATCTGTAGAGTCCTAGGAGCTTATAGAGTTCTGCTGGAACGAGCAGTGATGCATGGAAACCCATTTAGATTTCTTCAAGGCACAGACCTTGTCTTCCTATGGCCCGGTATAACACCTAGCCCAGCGACCTTTGGGCACTGCTGTAATCTAAACAATAAATCATAATAAAGATTCAGGAAACTGCCTTCATGTCAGGAAATTTGTAGGCATCTTTACAATGAAGATTATCTTTCCTTGTTAATTGGAAAAAGGGAGAACTGGTATGTCCTCTTTAGGCAATACTATAGTGTTTACTGCTTTATCCTATTCTATACAGGCTTCTATAACATGCCCATCATTAGGGCCCTACCAAATCCATGGCCATGAAAAATGCATCACAGACCATGAAATCTGGTCTCCCCCCTTGAAATCTGGTCTTTTGTGTGCTTTTATCCTACTATACAGATTTCATGAGGGAGACCAGCGTGAGTGAGGGGGGAAATTGATAGCAGCCTTCAACTACCTGAAGGGGGATTCCAAAGAGGATGGAACTAGGCGGTTCTCTGTGGTGGCAGATGACAGAACAAGGAGCAATGGTCTCAAGTTGCAGTGGGGGAGGTCTAGGTTGGATATTAGGAAACACTATTTTACTAGGAGGGTGGTGAAGCACTGGAATGGGTTACCTAGGGAGGGGGTGGAATCTCCATCCTTAAAGGTTTTTAAGGCCCAGCTTGACAAAGCCCTGGCTGGGATGAGTTAGCTGGGGTTGGTCCTGCTTTGAGCAGGGGGTTGGTCTTGATGACCTCCTTAGGTCTCTTCCAACCCTAATCTTCTATGATTCTCAAATTGGGGGTCCTGACTCAAAAGGGAGTTGCAGAGGGGTCACAAGGTTATTTTAGGAGCATCGCAGTATTGCCACCCTTACTTCTGCACTGCCTTCAGAGCTGGGCGGCCGCGAGTCCAGCTCTAAAGGCAGCACCCAGCCAGCAGCAGCGCAGAAGTAAGGGTAGCAATACCATACCATGCCAGGCCACCCTTACTTCTGCACTGCTGCCTTCAGAGCTGGGCAACCAGAGAGTGACGGCTGCTGACTGAGGGCCCATCTCTGCAGGCAGCAGCGCAGAAGTAAGGGTGGCGATACCATACACTACCATACCATTCTTACTGCTGTGCTGCTGCTGGCAGCGGCTCTGCCTTCAGAGCTGGGCTCCAGGCCAGCAGCTGCCACTCTCCTGCTGCCCAGCTCTGAAGGCAGTGCCACCAGCAGCAGCAGCACAGAAGTAAGGGTAGCAGTACCGCAACCCCCCCTACAATACTCTTTTGATCCCCCCCACACACAACTCCTTTTTGGGTCAGACCCCTTCAATTACAACACCGTGAAATTTCAGATTTAAATAGCTGAAATCATGAAATTTACTACTTTTAAAATCCTAAGACTGTGAAATTGACCAAAATGGACCATGAATTTGGTAGGGCCCTACCCATCATCATGGTAGGTGAGCACCTGAAATATTAAAGTAACCATTTGACATGGCACAATTAGAACCTAGTTTTAATATACATTTGGTATCCCTTTTATGGATTGTGTAGAATACTCCAGAATATTGAAGAACTGGATTTCCCTCTGCTTCCAGCTATACCAGAGGTTCCTAAACTGGGGGACACGCCCCCCTGGGGGGGCACGGAAGGTATTCTGGTGGGGGTGTGAGAAGCTTTAGGGGAAAAAACCCTTACCTCACACATTCAGAGCTGGGTGGCCAGAGAACAGCGGCTGCTGGCTGGGCACCGGTGTGTGTGTGTGTGTGTAAACTAATACAAACGCAAGGCGGGGCAGGGGGGAAGCACAATCAAATAAGTTTGAGAACCACTGATCTATATGATGCTGAACAATTGCAATGACATTGGAACCATGTAAAGAATTCACATGAATTTAGTTTTGAGATTCAGACATAGATGTTGATGGAAATTAGGAACATTTCTTTTTAACCAGAAACATGTAATTGCTGTGTGATTTTTATCAAAGTAGCACATTTTTTTCTTAATGTTGCAAATGTCTGATATATTCGGGCAGACTTCAGCAGCCATTTTCACCATTTCAAGGATGTTTGCTCAGCGAGACATGATGGAAAATCACTGGCGTTCTCATTGTATGTTCCCGGAAAAGACACAAATTAGAAACACACACACACCTACACTCAAGAGCCTTCCATGTCTGATGAAATTAGCCCAGAGTCTGCACGTTTTTCGTTTCTTTTCTCATAACCATCTCATCAAAGTAGCAGCCACAATAACAATTGTATCAAAGGTCAGAGGTGCCAGGTTTCCAACATGAACGGGAAAAGGGTGCTTTGATCACAGAGTCTAATGCAAAAACGCCAGGCATGGGACCCTGCTCCAAGATCCATCAGTGTTCAAAGACACGGAAGGCAGAAACAGCCAAGAGAAGAAACAAGAGATAGCGTAACAAAAGCCAATGCCCTCCTGTCTTGTGGAGCTGCTTTCTGTGCTGCAAAGACCCTGTGGTGTTTCATCCCCTCCACCTCTGTCTGCAGTAGCCCTGGTGCAGAGAGCAAAGGCCTTGTACATAACAAAATTTGTTCCTCTTCTGCAGGGCGGAAGTCACAGTGGTTAAGAGAATAAAACCACAAGATCTGAAAAAATACCATGAGGGTCGTGGGCCGCTCTTGGTGGGTTTCATACAGCACAGACCCTCAGCATTGCACACAATTGTTTTTGCAAAGAGTTTGCAAGCACAGTAACACCTGACTGAAGGCATGGGTGGAACTAACCTACATTCCAACTATGTGTTTTTTTGATACAATATACTGTACAACAAGTATATCTGATCATGTGCTGTATCCTGCTTAGTGCGTAAACAAAATAGTGTGTTTTGTAATCCTCATTATAGCATTATGGCATTTCACTAAGACTCTGGCTTGGTCTACACTAAAAACTGATGTTGATATAACTGCATCACTCGGGGTATGGAAAATTCACATCCCTGCTGCAGTTATACTGACCTAACTCCCAGTGTAGACCATACTATGTCGATGGGAGGGCTTCTCCCATCGACATAGCTACTGCCTCTCGGGGAGGTGGATTACCTGTGCCGATGGGAGAAGCCCTCCCATTGGCATGGGTAACATCTTCACTGAAGCAGGCCTTCAGTGTAGATAAGCCCTCAGTCTAATGCAATGAACTTTCCATCAGGAAATAGGAGATATGGGATTTAAACGCTGAGATCAAAACTATAGAGTCTTAACCTCGGGTCACAACCACTTTGTACTTCCCATATATCTCAATGGGAGGAGGGTTGCAACTAGATCCCAGTTAGATGGGAGGAGAGTTTGAGAGTAGATCCTGGTATGGAAAAAATTGAGAGCCACCCATCCAAAGGATCCAATGCTGCTGCAATCAACATTCGTTTTAGTGAATGGTAAAGGAAAAGTACAGTAGCTGGCAAGAAGACAGATACATGACAGATCGTCCCTGTTTACAATGCAAAGGTGTTTGGCATTAAATGGAAAGATAATTGAAACCAATATTTAAAAATGAACCAAGACTGACTTAGGGATGAATTCTTCTCTCTTGGTTCATTTAATTTTGGAGGCTGAGAAACTTTCCCATGATGTTTGCTGACATCACATCCTCCCCAAAAAGCACTATGTCCTATCAAGCCAGACCAGCTAATTCATCTTTGCTCTGCTGCGCCTTTCTTGAGAACAGTCAGCACGAGGAGATAATGGCCAGATTCGTTTCTTTGCTGTTTTTTCTCAGTCTGAACTTGTGTGAGTACAGAATCCCTATTTGGTGTAACCTCTTTAAGAAGGGTAATTAATAATGGGAGTTTAGGGTGGTCTCTCCAGAGTCATCTGGATGGAGGAGTCAAAACGAATGGGCAAGGAGTCAAAACAAAGGTTAAAAAGCAAACAAACCCACCAGATTAATTTTCAGTTTTGTGTTTTACTTTGTTTCTGCGAGTGAATAGAGAAAATGGCCCAGAGCCTGAGCTCAGTCATGCTGGTGCAGCCAGTGGAGTTACTCCAGATTTACTCCAGCATGACTGAGAGCCGAGTCTGGCCCAAAGATTTTTTTGGGTTCCAGCACAGTTAAAACTAATGCATCATTTTAAAAAACTTGGTATATGTCAGTGTAACCTGAGCTTTCACCCAGATGGCTTCTCTGCATCAGATGATCTACTGAACTAGGGCAGCCGGTGTAAGGACTCGGGCGATCGCTGAGCACGCTGTAGAACTGAATCCTGGCAGTCGCTGAAATGGATTACCCGAGTCTGCCTGAGAGTGTGTTGATCCCTTAGCCCTGTGCATGTTCTTGGTTCACTGCGCTGGGTGTCTCCATGGCACTAATCAGCGAGGATGGAGCTTTGAGTGAGGTCTGAGACCCCAGTAAGGAGAATACGGCTTGAGATGGTGCTGAGGACGCTCTCTGTGGATGGGTGTGACTGTGCTGATAACTGTGCTGGGTGAATTTCTCTCCCTCAGGCTGCTGCAGGTCCCAGGACCAGGGAAGCAAAATGAGTGTGAAGCTCCGCAGCGGCGGTAGCCCCCTAACCCTGGGAGCCCCGGTGGAGCTGGAGTGTGTGATCTCAGGCTCTGGGCTGTCCGACAGTGGCGTGTCCTGGATGCGCCAGCACAGGCAGTCTGCCCCCCAGTTCATCTTGTTCGTTACCTCCCTCAACCGGGTGGCACCGACAGACAATGGAAAACCACCCGCACGCTTTGACGCAAAAAAAGAAAACAAAAACTACAGACTGACCGTGAAGTCCTTCCAGGAGCAGGACCAGGGCAATTATTACTGCATCATCAACCACAACCAGAGGCTGCACTTCAGTTCTGGGATCTCACTCCACCTGCCAGGTCAGCACCAACCTCACCCCATTTCAGCCCCCTCTGCCTGGGCTAGAGCCCCAGCATTCCCCCTCCCTCACAGCCCAGCATCATCCTTATCATCCTCATCACCCCTCAGACCTGGCCCTTCCTTCCTGTGTGCCCAGGTGGGCAGGTGTCAGGGGTCCCAGTACAGAGCCTTCTGCCCAGGACGCCCCTCTCAATGTTTCGCTTTCCCTGAATGTCTCAGCCACGCGGACTCCTGGCATGTCCCTCACCCTCCTTCTCCGTCACTCCCCTTCACCTCCACTCACTGCCCGTAACTGCCAGCAGTTGGGTGTCCCTGAGCAGGGTGTAGGTTTCCCTGTAGGGTCCTAGTGATCCCCCTCTTTCAGGAGACTGGAGACAATGGGATAGATGCCTGCTCACTTTCCCCTCCCAGTTCCCAGTCGTGGCTCAGCATGGATAATGCCATAGGAATGATGCTTAAAACACTGGCATCCCCTTCTACCCAACAACCCCATCGCTGACACCCCCTTGTACCTAACAAACCCCATGTGACCCGGGTCCCAGTGGGGAGCCAGCTGTGATCACTCAATTAGGGTGAACTGCAAAGAATGGGGCAGACAATCCCATAAAACTGGTGGATATTCCAATACTTAGATTTACCAAGACAGCATAAAACAGCTTCTTTATTACCTTACTTGCTACTCAGAAGTCCAAACAATAGAGGTTCCTTAAACTGATCCAGCCTCAGGCCTCCATCCAGGTACCCACGTCAAATATGATGATTTCTGAAAATCTTATTTCATCATATAAAAGAAAAAGGTCTACCAATCCCAAAGGATCAGACACATTACCTCCCAGGTTAATGAATGTTTCAGATCTTACCCAAATACATGCTGCAGCCAATTCTTATTAACTAAACTAAAATTTTATTAAAAAACAAAAGAGAGCAAGTATGGTTAAAAGATCAATATACAGACAGACATGAGTTCAATTTATTTAGGTGCAGATTCATAGCAGAGATGGGGAGCTTTGTGGTTGCAAAGAGTTCCTTTAGAATTCAGTTCATAGGTCATAGTCCAATGTCCAAATCTTATACAGTATTCAGGGTGCACCAGCATAACTGGGACCTCAGTCTTGCGACTCAAACTTCCCCTGATGAAGTCTAAGCAGATCAGAGAGGACAGATTCAGGCCCCAA